CTACAAATGTATGTTTTCATACCAGGCCCCCCACCGAAGCCCCAGTATTTCTTTATGGTGCTCCACTGGGTCCTCTTCCTCCACCACTCCCACCACAACACCCACCCCTTCTGGTTGCCTCAATAGTGTTTTAATCAGACTTGAATGTGATGACTTTGTTACTTGGAATCATTCTTGCTGCATCAGGCCCAGCAATTAGAGCAATCAGCATATTTTGTGTTCATCTTGGGAATCATGCCAGGATTTCTGGAGCAATACTTTGCCCTCAGATAAGACATGGGCCCCAGTGAGAGAAAGGGGGCTTTCCTGCAAGCCTTTGAGGGTCCTATTGGGAGATGTACCCACCCTTTCCTGGGGGGCAGTCTTTTTTTGCCTGGACCTGAATGTGAGGGCCCATCCAGCATTCTGCAGGCCTTCTCCCACTTTGTCTACTATTTTCGGAGAAGTTTGGGCAGCCCACTAAGTTTTTTCTTTATTAGATACGTAACCCCATGCACAAAGTTACAACTCACTAGGACTAAGAGATTTGAGGCTTCTTAGAACACTGAGCCTCAGAACTGACTTCTGACCTGACATCAGCAGAGGCTCAAAGACCACATTGTTTCAGGAGAGCTCATGCTAACAGCCTGAATGGGCTCTGTGTAATCATCACCCACTGATGGGGAACATACGGGTAATGACAGCGTGCAAGCATGCATGCTTGGTGGTCATCAGCAATGTAGACACCAGGATCTGAAGGCCAGTAGACTCCTGATGGCTTTTGGGCAGCTTATTTGTAAAGCTTTCTTCAGCGTGAAGAAAACCCACCTAAGCTACATACACAAAAGAAGAATGGGAGCGTGCAAGGAAGCCCTACCTCTGAACACACAACTCATCCTGCCGTCTCTACTAGCACTGGAGCAGGAAGACCACTAATCAGGGTACACATGCTTTTGTCTCATTCTTAGTGTTGGCAGCTTAGCTGTTGTTGTTTTATTTATTTATTTATTTTTTTTGCATAGTTGTCAGCTTTGTGGTGCAAAGATACAGTTTCCAGATTTGTGTCCAATAGAGGGCTGGGGCCTCAGTCTCGCAGGACATGGAGTCGACTGTAACTTGGCAAGGCCCCAGACACTCTGGAGAGACCCAGGCATTTATCCCAGTCTTCAAATTAGATCTTTCATTCAAACTTACATGTCTAAGCTCTTTTCTTTTAATGTAAATTCTTTGAAGAAAAAAAAATTAGGTGATACATTTGTCACTTCCTTTATTACAATGACAGTGTTATTTGCGAAGTGGTGGTAATAATGATGTTGATTTCCTTGATGGGAAGGTGGGTTAGTCAATACCCTTTATCAAATTCAAATTCCAAATTAAATAGAACTTGTCGCACAGGAAGTGCATTAATTCCCATAATAAGAGAACTCCTTCCTCCTGAGGGCAAGCTGAGTTTTCTTTTGATATCCTGTGTATAGCATGTGCCTCTGTGGCTGTTTCCTGTCTGTTATCAAGAATGGATACTACTGCGCCTATGTTGCCAGCCTGGTCTTGGGTGTCTCCCCATCGGGCGGGTTGAGTAGTGATGTGTGTAAGCATTCTGGTGGTGCTGTGAGAAGCTGAAGGCATCTGAATGGACTTTGCTGGTTTACTTTGGTGTGCTCTTTTCATTTAAAAAGTGAAAGCTTAGGGCCTCCCCTGGTGGCGCAGCGGTTGAGCGCTGGGCTGCAAAGATGCCCAAAGCCTCTGCAGCGCTGGTTCGATCACCGGCTGCCAGCAAGAGTCCCACATGGTGTGACAGACCTCTCCTGCCTCGCCTGCTGCTCCCCTCAGCAGTATATTTTGTCAGTCTGCCTGTTCTGTTCCCTGCTCTGGCTCTGGTGAATTTTCTTACCCTCCAGCTCTTCTGACTGTACCCAGTGCTTGTATAAATAAATACATAAATAAATCTTAAAAAAAAAAAAGTGAAAGCTTATGACCCTCTTGTGTCCACCGTACACCGAGTAAAGGAGTAAACCATGGACCTAAGCATAGCAAATTGAATATAATGTGGCCCGAGTTGTAGCAGGACTGCTGGGCAGAACTCAGGGGAAGGAAAGTGGGCAAGATATGTCTGCGCAATTAACACTGACCATAGTCTTGGCTTTATTTTTCAAGAAAGGTAGAACGGCCCCAGATATGGGGATATAAGGCAGATTTCCTGGCTGCTATTTTCAAGAATGCAGATAGGTGCTGGAACTGTGGTTTGTAAACCCCAGCAGGTTGGTGCTGGCTGCCAGAACCAGCTCAGAAGACTTGGATGTAAATGCAGAAGTCTGGCTGAACAACTCTGTTAGAAACTTTTTCTCCGCCTCCTTAGCCTCCAGAGTTCAAATTTCACTAAACCTGATTGCATGAAACCCCACCCTTGTGTTTACATTGTGCTGGCCTTCTTGGTTGAATCAAAGTCCCCTGCTTGGCCTACAAGATCTTCTACCTCTGCTCTAGCTGGACGGGATCTAGGTGTCCTGTGGGGAGGCACACCGCCTCCCACCTCCCCGCTGAGGATGCTGCTGCTCTGGGGTTAGAGCTTTCTACACAGAAAGTAGGTCCCACAGCTGTATACTGAACAAACTGATGGGCTGTTTGTAAGGTAAGCAGGGAGTGTGTATATGTACTGCTTGGGTGAGTGTGCATGTGTGTGTGTGTGTGTGTGTGTGTGTGTGGTTCTGCAGGTAACAGAGACCTGTAACAGAGCCTGCCATGTCTTTGAGACCTGCAAACCAGAAAAAATGACCAGACACTGGAGATGATGCTCCAGGGAGGGGAGAGAGCATTAAGTAGAAAGAAAAGAATTGTCTGGCAAGAAGGAATGTCTGGTAGGTTTTTAGGGAAAATGAATTGTATGTGAGAGGAAATTGACTTACCTGCTGCTTCTCTTGGGAGAGTCAGTGGTGGATTGAAAGGGAATTGGTGTGGGAAAGCTTTCGGCTGGCTCAATGGCTGGCAAGCCCTGTCGGTGTCAGGCTCAGCCGACAGGACATCCTGTTTTCCTGGTCAGCTGCATTTTCATAATTAGGTGTACCCCAGAGATACCCGGGCTGCACAGAGACTGCCAAGATAAGTACCCTTGGCACCGCTAGCCCCTGTCTGGTGATTGCCAAGAGTGGTGCTGACCTATGGGAGTGGGTCTGCCCATCATCACACTGGTGTAGGCTGGCTGGGGTGCACGGTCGCTGTGTCCAGGGTATACCTGCCACAGCCCCACTCGGAACCCCAGGGCTACTTATCCAGCATTCCAGAGCCTCGCCCAGGGATGACAGGAGTGCTTGGAATCCTTGCCGCCCCAGCTCATGATGTGGTCTCTGCAGTGGGCGTGTCCCCTTCCCATGGAGATTTTTGGCTCCCTGCAGACCCTTTCTCCTTGGAATACCCCAGTCCTGCTTGCCTGTTTTTTGTTCTGTTTTGTTTCCCCTCTAGTCTTTTTTTCTCCAAGAATTTACAGCCCTACTTGTTTTCAGAAAACATTTGCACAGAGCTCAACTTGGCTCCAAAGGGAGTGATTTTCAGTTGCTGCCTTGGCAGGCAGGGCGTCCAAAGGTGAGGTGTCCTGGTGCTGACTGGCCTACAAGTCTCCTTCCTGCTTCCGGTTCCTTCCTGTCATTCAGTTCAAAGGTAGTTTTGGGGTTTAGGGGTTCAGGCAGGTGTTATCAAGGTGAGAAGGCACATAAAGAGAAACTACTGCCTAGATAGAGTCATTTGTGGAACTTCACATGAAGGGAGAAAGAGCTTACTCTGTCCATCTTTTGCTTTTTGCTAAAATAGAGATAAGGGGTACATTTCACCTAACTCTGTAGTATCTCAAAGTCACCAAGTGTGATTTTGTCGATTAAGAGGAATAGTCTCAGAGGCTTCCATGCAGTCATCATTTATTTGCTTCAGACTTTCTCTGGAATGAGAATTCAATAAAATGCTGATGGGAGTCTTCCACAGAGGTAGAATCCTACTGAAACATAATCAAAGCAAACCTCATCTCATGAGAGGCTATACATATCATAATTATAAACATACATGTGGAAATAAAGAGAACCTGCATGTGTAATTGGTGAGGTGAAACCCCTTCTCTCCTTAAAGGGACACCATCCCGGTCTGGGCATTTCTCTTGTGAAGGGTGGAACTTCTGGGACCTGTACCCCCACAAGGCCCCTGAGGGATGAGAAGCCCTTGGGACACTACCAAAGCTACTCGAAACTCTCCACTGCATGATGAGTTATGGGAGGGCTCAGTAACAAGCTAGGTCCAACTTTCTATGTGATGGACCTTTCCTTCCTCAGAGACCTAAACCTCACTGTCCCCTCTGTGCATAGCATCGCAGGCATTGAGGTGTGAGCCTGCTGCTAGACATCCTGCTTACCAGGCTAGGCTGTTCCCATTGTAGGGTTGATTCTCAAAAGAGAAAGCTGGGAATTTGTAATGGCTGCAGAGCTAGTCAGTCAGAGCTGATGTGACAAGTGTAGGAGAAACCATCTCTAGGTCTTGAGGTTCTGAACTTCAAGAGTCCACGCATATGTGAGTTTCTTTTTTTTTTTTTCTACCTATGGTTTCAACATCTACAAACTCAACCAACTGACATGGTGTTGAATCTGTGGATGTGGAACTGTGGATGTGGAAGGCAGCCATAAGGTGCTTGAGTTTCCTTGGGTGGACTGACTGTCACAAGACACTGAGCCTGGTAGAAAGGGCGCTGCTCTCATAACCTCACAGTTCCTTGGAGGAAGGTTCAGTGCCCCCAGAGCCTGGAGGCAATGAGGAAGCCGGAGGAATCATTTAGCTTTTATTGCTGCTGCTTTGGGTCAGGTTGTGATCAGTCACGAAGGAAACTGACAGGCCGAACAAATAATGCAACTTAAATACGGTTTATGCCTGGTAAGAGCTTGAGGCAGGGCTGCTTGGCCACACAGCCATGCTGTGGTGGATGCCGTGACAACTGATGCCGAGGCAAACTGAGTCATGGCAGACAATGACTGCTGGAGCTTTTGGGCAGATTAAAAAAATGAATCCATCTTTATTTTTAGATTTCTATTAAAGAACAGTACTTCTTGTAATTCCCAAATTATAAGGTCCGTTGAGTTGATTTATGGATACCCGTGAATTTGACACTGCAGACACTCTTTTATTCCCCATGTTCTGGGTCCTGGAATCAACCGCCACTGTCACCTGGGCCAGAATTGCTCCCTTGCGAGGTCACTTTACAGATCAGGAGAGTGAGCACAGAAAGGTTGAGTAACTCATTAAGGTCACGCAACTGTGGTCAGGAATTTTAATCATGATTCAAGTCCAGATGGATCATGCCAGAAAGTCTAGGGGAGTGAAGATGTGTTCATAAATCACTCCACTGGAAAAGTCCAAACATGCTTCTTTAATGCCACGAGGGAGGCACAAAGGGACCATAACAGCTATCCCAAAGAAAAGAGAGCTCCCATTATTTCATGGAGTTTAGGGAGAGAGAAGAAGGTCCTGGAAGAGAGAGAAGATAGAGAAAGGCTAATGAGGTGGAAGAAGTGGGAGGGAGAGGAGGATGGGAGAGGAGGAGAGGCAAGAGGAGACAGGAGAAAGGGAAGTGGGGTGAAAAGGGGGAGGGGTGCAGGAAAGAGAGGAGTAAGGAAAGGGGGAGGATGGGTGCCTCCCTGGGGCACAAGGAAGTCTTAGCACTATGACACTATTGGCAGCCACTGCAGCACGAGTTCGACCCCCGGCCAGGGAGCTACCCACATGGCGCAGCGGACCTCTCCTGTCTCGCCCGCTGCTCCCCTCAGCAGTGTGTTTCGGTCTGCCTGTTCTGTTCCCCACTCTGTCTCAGGTGAATCCTCTCATCCCCCACATCTCTGGCCTGTAACCCCAGCTCTTGTATGCATAAATAAATAAAATAAATCTTTAAAAATAGGAAAGGGGGGAGATGGAAAAGAGAGATGGGGAGAGGGGAATGGAAAGGGGGAGGGAGAACAAGAGGGGGAGGGAGAAAGTATGGGGAGGAGTAGGGGGAGGAGGTAGCCTTAGCAGGATCGGGCCCATTCATCAGTAAGTCTCCTTTCTGTCTTACTTTTGTGATCATTTTTAATGGGGGCATAACTTAAATAAGTAAAAACATGCAATTCTAAGAGTTGAATTTCTGTCCTGAACCTCACCACAGTCAAGATATAAAACTTTTCCTTAGCCCCAAATCACCCCCCTGCCCCTTGCCAGTCTCCCCTCCTGCCAGTTTCTTGCCGTAATCTCTGCCCCAACTCAGGTACAGAATCGAAGCTCTCTATTGCACCAAGAGGTGCAACCATTGTCTGCGGGCTGTTTTCACTGTGCTGTCTGAATGTAGAGGGACTGATGGCATTTTTATCTTCCGTCTTATCAAACACCTTTCCTGAACAGTTGTTCTTGTAATCCCTGGGGAGTTACAATGGGGGCACTAATTAGGGGGCTCATGGGGCATTTTGATGATGTGGTGAATTGATTTAGCTGGGTGGCCTAAGTGAATCTTCTGGAGAATGGGCAGGAGGCAGAAGTGACTATCAACAGTCAGTGGGCTGAGTCTAGAGAAATGGGTCACATTAGGTCAGATTAGACAGGGGACCTTGCCTTAATCAGGGCTCCCAACCCAAGGGGCTGTGTGAGCGCAGTGGGTATGGTGATAGAGCCCCAGGGGTCCACCTGGGAATAGTTCATTTATTATAAACACACAAATGCATAGCCTGCTGCCAGCGCAGCTTAGGAGAGGGACCTGTCACCATCCACATAATAGCCAAGTATGAAGAATCCTGTGTTGCAGAATTTAGGAGGAAACAGGGTGTGCCAGGAGTCTCTGAGGAGTGAGTGTGTGGAAGTTGCAGAGTAAACATTCAGGCAAATTCCTTTCCAAAATTAAATTGTTAATTTCACATAAAAGTGGTTGATTGGGATTAGAATTCCAGTGTTTGTAGTTTTTAAGAAATGTAAAGCAGAGACTTGGGAGTGGGATGGGGATAGGCTGAAGTCCAGAGGCTCTGCCCAGTAGCCTTTTTCAGTCTTAAATGCTACTGTCACCCTCTGAACTGTTCTTTTCTTAACTATAAAATGGACTTTCCAATTCCTGCTTCACAGCGTTGCTCTGGGCAGTAAGTGAGAGTCATCTCCGGGGCACTATTTTCCTGGCTCAGGGTAGCTGCTTGAACCTAGCCTTAGACTGTCAGCCGAAATGCATTCTCTGGTCCTCTGATGCGGGAAATAATGAATCCTTGAAGCTGTACCTAGGAGCCCCCGTCTCGAATGTGGCTCACCCTTCCTCTGTTGATCATGCATGGAAACCTGCATGATCCTACCACCTACTGTCTGCTGCTCCTTACCTGTCCCTCATCTGTTCTTCAGCATGGTCCATCCCCAGCACAGAGTAGGGACTCTGTGAGCACAGTTAACCCTTGAACATCTCAGGTTTGACATTGGAGGGTCCAGTGAATGCAGATTTATTTCTGTCTGTGGGTTCTGCATCCACAGATTAAACCAATTGACAGCCACAATTGGTTGAACTTTAGTTCAAGAACTTTGGTGAATGTAGGACCTGTAGATATAGAGGGTGAACCATTAGGGGCTTGAGTGTCATTGGGTTTTTGTATCTGATTGGGGTCTGAAACTCATACCCCTCAGATACCAAAGAACAATAAGTTTTGGGGAGTTATACATGGATTTTCATCTGGGAGGGGGGTTGGCACCCCTAACCCTGAGTAACTCCAGGATCAGCTGTATTCCTTTTCACTCTCCCTCAACAATTAACAGTGATGGGCCTCCCTCGTGGCGCAGGCGGTTGAGCATCACACTGTGAAGCCGTCCGAAGCCTCTGCAGCGCGGGTTCGATCCCGGCCAGCCAAGGAGCAACCCACATGGTGCAGCAGACCTCTCCTGTTGCGCCCGCTGCTCCCCTCAGCAGTGTATTTCATCAGTCTGCCTGTTCTGTTCCCCGCTCTGTCTTTGGTGAATCCTCTCACCCTCCCACGCAAGGATTCACCAGAGACAGAGCGGGGAACAGAACAGGCAGACTGATGAAATACACTGCTGAGGGGAACAGCGGGCGGGGCAGGAGAGGTCTGCAGCGCCATGTGTGACCCTCGCTGCCTGGCTGGGATCAAACCGGCACTGCAGAGGCTGCGGACAGCTTCACAGCTCGGCCCTTAACCACCTGCGCCACCAGGGGAGGCCCATAAGTAAATCTTAAAAAACAAAAACAAACAAACAAACAAACAAACAAACAAAAAACAATTAACAGCCATGACCAAGTGCTTAATGAACTGCTATGAATGTTTGTGCTTAGGACTTTCTGTTTTTCTCAATTAAGACTTGCAGGGAGAATCCTGTTCGCTCTTTTGAAATGAAAAGCTATTTTTAAAGCAAACCCATGACAGAAGTCAACATAAAATTAATAGTCCTTAGAAGAAAGGAAAATTCCAGGTAGCTTAATAAATCCATCAGGTTTGTCTTTTCTTTGTTTTGAGTCACTTTTTTGTTGGCAGCAGGGCCAGTGGGCAGCTTATTGTATCACAAGTCAGTTCTACAGTTTTTCAGTGGCTGAGTGGCTGGGCTTGGAAGGTGTGGAAGCTGAAATGCAGTCCTCCCTTTGGCTGCTTCTTAGTGTATTTGTGTGGTGGTTCATCTGTGCTCAGCAGGATAGAAAGGCATTCAACTTCCCCTTTTGGTTATTTTCTTAGATTTCTCTTGAAAAGTTTTCTCAGTGCCACTTTTTCTCCCGTGGAAAGTCCCCTTTCAAAGGCCAGGTGGGGTGGGAAGGGAATAGTCTCATGGGTAGGCAGGAGTGGGGTGGCGTGGGGTGGGTGAGGGGCCACTTACAGAGTTAATTTTTGGTGAGGCAAGAATGTCCACTCTGTATTTTCTTCCTTCTGTTTTTCTCTAGATGATAAACTCTTGATGTGTGGACGTAATCAGAGCCATGTTTGTATTTGGTTGATTTTTAACTAGGCCCTGGCCGCAGGGAAATCATTACCAGATGGCACACAGACTCCCTTTGTGAGGGGCCCAGAGTTCTGCTTGGTGGGGTGGGGCCAAATGAAGGAAAGGGGCCCAGAGGGAAGGGTTCATTCTGCCTGGGATGTGTGGGGGCTCTATCCTGCAGCTGAAAAGCTGTGGGTTCTTCACTTCTCCTTTTAGAGATTAGAATTTGCAGAATGTGAATCAGTTCAAACTATGCCAGATCCCCCTTGAGGTGGAAGCACAAAAAAGATGCAAAGGGTAGGTGAAAGACTCTACCTTCTAGAATTATCTGTCCTTCCTCTCCCCCCACCCACAGTGGTCTCTTGGCCAGCACTCTAGATTCCAGAGAGGGAGTGAGCTTTGCAGCCCCAAATCCCCTTCACCCAGAGAGGTCTCACCCTCCTGTAGTGGGGGCTGGAATGGTAGTCGGACCCTAGCCACAGCTGCCAGGAACCACATGCCATGGACCAAAGACAGGAGTTTGCGCCATGATAGTTCTCTGAAAATTACTTTCTGCATCACTTTCTAACCCAGGCGTCCGCAGCCTGGCCAGCCCCACCAGCTCACATTTCTAACTTTGAGCTCTTAGGGGGCACTCTGCAATCAGTTAAATAAAGGTGTCCTTTAATTGTGACGAAGGCTTTGGGGGTTTCTCACAACAGAGGTGCAGCCTATGTTTCATTGTCCATGGAGTGTTGGCAGTGGGCCACCTAGTGAACCCCCAGCCCTGCAGGTATGTTTTTTCTTTTTGTTGCTCTCTTCCTGCATTTCCACCTTGGATCTTAACAGTAGAAGTCAGCACCTGCAAAACATTGGTTAAATGACCTTTCCTATGTTCGGCGGGTTAGAGGCAAGGGGTGCACAGGTGGGACGGTGGGTGTGCACGGGCCTGTCCCCTGCAGTGGTGCAGGTTTGAGTAGGGTCCATGTTATAGGTGCAGGAGATGGGAAATGGCAAGGATATAGTACCATTTCTATGCACCTACTGTATGCAGGGCTCTGATCTGCTCATAAGCCTCCCAGTCCCTAGCACCCTTGTGCCTCTGACCCCTACTGCTTACCTGATGGCCATGCTAGGTTAACTTTTAGGTTGGCTTTTTTTTTTTTTTTTCTCTTTATACACTTTAGAGCCCATAGGTGGGTGACATGAAGAACTCTCCAGTTTTATTCTGTGGTTTTTGAAGACCAGCTGGGCACCTGTGGGGACAGTTGCTCTGGGGGAAGGCCAGGCCAGGCGGTGGGCTGTGTTGCTGGACAAATTGTTTGGATGTCTGGAGAATGTGGTACTGCAGGTGGCTAAGGACTATGGGCTCTTTAATCTTCATACCCTTGTATTTTGTTGGTTTTCAGTTTTTGTTTGTTTGTTTTTACCTGATTAGGCAGCTGAGTATCTTTGCAAGACAACTTTCCAGGTTCTGTTGTGTAGTAACAAGTTTGAACATTTAAGATCTCAGTGACTTGGTGTCCAATGGCAATGGGGCCTGTTTTCTGTTGCTGGAGATACCACAGGAAACAAAACAGAGCAAACCCCCTTTCCTCCCAGAGCTTGTATTCTGGAAGGAAACAGAATACATGGGTAAGCATACAATAAGTCTGAATTACCATGTGGTGTGGGCCATAGATGAAAACCCAGCAAAAGGAAGGTCAGGAAGGCACATGCTGAGGAAGACAGAGCACAGAGGGCATAGAATAGTGCAAACAAATGCCCTGGGGCAGGTGCATGACTGCTAGGGTCTGGGAGCATCAGAGTGGGCAAGGGGGAAAAGAGGTCAGAAAGGGAGTGCCAGGCCTTGTCCACCATGGGGTAATTATGGTTCCTTGTGCTAGGAGTCTAGGACTTGGGTACACTATACGTGTCTCTAATTCTTCTAATTGCACTAAAATATGAGAATAATGATTCCATTTTATAAGTGAAGCCAGGGACTTGCCCTATATAAACGTGACCAGAGTAAATGCAAAACAGATCCTATCTTGAGGCCTCAGGGAAACTTAGGCATCTTATTTGTCCAACTGTAAATCAGTCCTGAGTTCTTCCTCATACAGGTTGTAGTCCTTTGCCAGAGTACACAGTCAGTGGTACTGGAGACTCTCTTTACCCTGCCGCCGACATCCCTCTGCCCCCAAATCACAAAATGTGGGTACAGTGTGGGCTCTGTGGAGGGCCCTGGCTGACCTCCCCGAGCCCCTGAGCTCCTCTGCCTTTGGGAAGACCCGTGCTCTACAAAGGAATTCAGAAGAATGGGCAGCAGGTCTGTCTTGATCTTTCTCTGATATGTTTATATCCTTTCCCTGTAGCTGTAACACTTACTGGGCATTTATTAATCTGGGTCCATGATCGGAACTTCAGAAGAGTCTGTGGTGGCAGTGGGCTGCTTTCTGCCCTCCTGCCCCCAGCTTACACCTGATGGGAGGAGATTTGATGTCCTGAATGCTGGGTCTCATGTTTATTCAGTGCTAATCATGTTGCTTTTAATGTATTCAGTATAATTTTAGATTTCTGCTACTAATAAAAGTACTAAGTATAGGATTACTCATGAGTATCAGACAAGGGAATATTGTCATCATTAGCATCTCATGCAGACCTTCCTCATAGACCATTCCTAGCATGGTGCTGGCCGAGAAATTCTACCTGAACATGATAAACAAGGCACTTCTGATAAACATGATAAACAGAGGCACTTCTGCTGGGCTGTGTCCCAATTTAAATGAGATGAATTTTGGCGCCACTCTTTCTTGTTTGTTTGTTTTTTTTTTTTTAAGATTTATTTATTTATCCAAGCACTGGGTACAGTCAGAAGCGTGGGAGGGTGAGAGAATTCACCAGAGCCAGAGTGGGGAACAGAACAGGCAGAGTGATGAAACACACTGCTGAGGGGAGCAGCCGGCGTAGCAGGAGAGGTCTGTCGCGCCATGTGGGACCCTTGCTGGTGGCTGGGGATCGAACCGGCACTGCAGAGGCTGTGGGCAGCTTCGCAACCCAGCTCTCAACCGCTGCGCAACCAGGGGAGGCCCACTTGTTTTTTGTTTTTAAGTCATTGTTCCAGACTGTTTTAATCAGAGTTAAGGAAAAAAAAAGTGGCGGTTACAGATGCACAGTCTTTGAAGTGCTAAGTCTCTCTTCTGGAATTCAGGGACTACCTTCCTCCTCCGAGTGGCCCAGTGGTGACCCCCTCGCCCAGGCGAGGCTCTGGTCCTGCAACACGTCAGTGCCTTTCATATGGTGGCGTCTATAATTCTCACAGAGCAGAGAGCAATAATGCAAGTTTCTCTGCTCTTTGTCCTGCTCCTCAGGATAGAATTGGAAGTCCTAGTGTCCGAGGTCTTGCATTCTTACCATCGAGTTTTCTGGAAGGATCTCTAAGAGAAGCCAAATGAAGCTGGTGGGGCCTTTTAAAAATGCATATCTGTGAACTATGTCTTTTATATATCAAACCTCCATATACAACATCCTCACACCCTCATTTCAAGGACAGGGTGAGAGGTAGGGCAAGGTGAACGTGTAGGTTGGTGGCCTCGTGGGTGTACTGGGATAGAACTGACCTAGGGACTCACATAGAATTGAGTTTTGTACCTTCACATTTGTAAGGTAATGTTTGTACAGGCTTTTCTTTTTTTGGGTGTTCCACTGGATGTAGCAGGCCCACCATGTGTCCTGGAACCCAGCCAGGGTCACACACTGCTCCCATTCAGAGTGAGTGACTCTACCACCTTCTGTGGGTATGGCTGCAGGCCCAGACCTTCACGTGTGTGACTGCCCAGTTCTTCCTAAGTAGCTAGTCAGCAGGGGGCAGTGGGAACCCACAGGCCAATAGATCTGAGTCTGGTTCCACCTCCAAGTTTGCTGTGACTGCCTGATCTTGGGCAAAGAATTACAGATTCTTGATTGTCAGTTATCTATAAAACAGGAAAAACAATGTCCAGTCTGCTATGTAGGCCATGAGAAATGAGAAAATGTGCCTTGTACCAACCCTATAGTAAGTAGGTGCTCAGTAAATACCAGCCCCTTCTGGGGTTCCTGGGGTTGAATCCAGCTCCTGCCTCTTACTTATATGCTCACCATTTGCCTGCTTGAAGATGTGGTTTATTTACAGTAGTTTGTGTAGTTCTCCCCATCGCTTCCTGCCCCCTGCTCTACTTTAGGATGAAGGTGGGAGAGTTTCCCTACTGGTTTACTGCCCCCATCCCTTTTCTTCCTTCTTCCCCTTGTCAGAGCAAGAATGAAGCCGGGGTAGGGTCATGCATACTCTTGGTACAGCACCCCCAAATATCCCATATGTCTCTGTCCTGACATGCCACCTCTGCATTTCCAAATAATTCAGAAACTGCTGACTGAGGCAGTGCACCCACCACACCAGGGCCAGGAGCAGGGTGATAGGCAGCTCCCTGCAGAGCAGGCAAAGCTCAGTCTTGAGGTGCATGGTGGCTCCCAGTGCCCCCATGGCATGGGCCAGGCTGTCAGCAGCTCCCTCTCTGCGGTTGTCCACAGTGTCATGTTTTGGGTGGGGAAAGTGGAAGGAGGGGACATGTGCCACACCAGCCTTCTCTGCGACCCAGGTCTTTATCATATCTCTGTCCGCAGTTTGAGGCTTGGGAGTAGCTAAATGCACATCCAGGGCCATGATTAATATCAGTAACAGAAGGTTTGCTCTCCCTGCACACATTTGAGCCTCCTTTGCTTTCTGCAAAGCACATCAGTATGTACACAGATCAGATCACACAGATCTGCGTCAAGCATTCCACAGTCCTGTCTTATATACACAGACTTTGTGGGGAATTAGGAGCTCAGCTTTACATTTTAACATAGGATAAAATCAACAATGAGGCTTCAAGGAAGATGATTTCAAGTATGACGATCCTCAGAGTTCTCTAAACGACAGTGTTCTTTACATAAAGAGGATGTAGACAGGATTCTGGCACCTGAAGATGTTTGACTATTTGCTTTGCTTTTTATTAGCATTTGCATTGCCAGAGTGTATATAGAATTTTGGGATCTTGGAGGAGTATTTGTCCCTGACTGTTATGAATTAATTGTTTTCTTAGACAAATGCACACCTACGTTCCAGGAATGGGATGTTCCCTCCGTTACTTACAGACTCTCTCCTGTTTTCTCCCCCTCCAGTGCTACACACGCAGGGCCCTGTTGACGGCAGTCTTTACGCCAAGGTGAGGAAGAAGAGCACTTCAGACCCTGGAATCCCAGGGGGGCCCTTGGCTGCCCCCGCTGCCAGCAGCCCAGACCACGGTGACCATACCCTGTCAGTCAGCAGTGACTCAGGCCACTCCACTGCCTCAGTCAAGACGGACAGGACCGAAGAGCGCCTGACTCCTGGACCCAAGAGGGTCCTGAGTCCCCAGGAGAAAGCTGAATTGGACCAGCTGCTCAGTGGCTTTGGCCTAGACGATTCTGGAAGCCCCCTCAAGGATATGACTGATGCTCGCAGAAAGTATAGCGGGACTCGCCACATAGTGCCAGCTCAGGTCCACGTGAACGGAGACGCCACCCCCAAGGACCGGGAGACAGACATCCTGGATGACGAGATGCCCAGCCATGACCTGCACAGCGTGGACAGCATTGGGACCCTATCCTCCTCGGAGGGACACCAGTCAGCCCATCTGGGCCCCTTGACCTGCCACAAAAGCAGTCAGAACTCCCTCCTGTCAGACGGATTTGGCAGCAATGGTGGAGAAGATCCCCACGGGACCATTGCCTCAGACTTGGGACTGGGTGTGGAGCCCCTGTTTGAGCGGGAGCGGGCTTTTGGGAGCCGTGAGCCCAAACAGCCCCATCCAGTTCTGAGGAAGCCCTCTGTTTCCTCTCAGACACAGGCCTATGGGCAGAGCAGCTACTCCACACAGACCTGGGTGCGCCAGCAACAGATGGTGGCAGCCCACCAGTACAGCTTTGCCCCAGACGGCGAGGTCAGGCTAGTCAGTCGAGGCCCTGCAGACCTTTCTGGCCTGGTGCATGCCCAGCTCAGGGTCCCAGTCACCCTCCCTCAGGGGACCAGCAGCAGGGTGACCGTCCAGAGGGGTGTTGGCCCTGGGCCACATCCCCCCGACACACAGCGACCCCCTCCTAGCAAATCGTGCAAACCCAGGTTTCCAGACATCAAAGTAGTGAATGGGACTGGCCTGGAAATGAACTCAGATCACTCTCCAGACTCTCCCACCCTGGACATCGACCAGTCCATTGAGCAGCTCAACAGGCTAATCTTGGAACTGGACCCCACCTTTGAGCCCATTCCCACCCACATGAATACCCAGGGCAGCCTTACCAATGGCCCTGTGCTCCCTGATAGCATGGGAGGTGGGCTCCAGCTGAACAGCCGCCTGCAGGACTTAGGAGAGGACTCCGGCAGGGCTCCTACACGGCAAGGTGAGCTGATGTTTCACAGGATACTGACATTTGATGAGAAATTAGCTCCTGGAAGTCCTCTTCCTGTGAAATCAACATGAAAGCATTTGTGCCCTTGGAGTGTCTGCTTGTGAATTTTGGCCTAGGGTCTGTGCACCCTCATGGGAGGTTTGGGGCTGGGAATTGGAGGCAGGTAGGACCTAGCAGAAAACCCACCCGCTGAAGTTAGTGCAGCGGCAGGGATTGGATCTGACTGTTAAGGGTACTGGTCATGCCAGGACCCAGACCAGCTGCTGGGGGCCCCCTCTTCTACCTGTTCTCCATGTAATTTGTGGCCAGGTGCTTACTGCTGAAAGCCTCTGTTTCCAATCTGCAGAATGGGCTTAATAAGAGCTTTCTCACTCTGAAATTATTAGATGGTTAGAAAGAATATGTCCTTAGAGTGTCCTTAACTGTGACTGTGTTTTGTAGAACAAGACTTTGCAGAAGAGTGCCAGCCACTACACTGAGTTGTAGGGGTAGGGAATGGAGGGCGGTTGGACCCTGGGCACAGTCTCTGGGGAGGGGAAAATGAGTCTTACTGTATGAGATGTCCCTGAGCTGGCCTGTACCAAGCCTGGAAACAACATGATGAGGCCATTGGGTGGAGAGATGCTTCAGTGAGTGGAAACTGGAGTGCAGACCTGTGACAGAGGGCCAACCAGCTCCCGGGAGCAGGCTCGGGAGAGTTGGACTGAGAGGTGTGGAAATCTAGTCCACAAAGTCACATTGTTTGGGCCCTTACCTTTGGGATGCAGAGGTGAGACCTGGGCTAGGATAGGGCCTTCTGCCTGGTTGCAAGGCCTGCAGTGGACAGGCAATGGCCTCTGGGTATTTAACTGCATGAATGTTAGGGGGGTGGAGGACACAAGTTGGGTTTGGATCTGTGACATGCTTTCTGTGTTGGACAGACTCATGAGATTGTGGAGCCCCAAATAGCTGGCAGGGTCATCTTGGGAGGATGTTCAGCAGAGGAGGAGCTCTAGGACAGAGTTGAGGTATCAGAGGCAGGGAACTGGCTTGAAGGGAGAATGTTAGTCCAAAGTTTCCATGTAGAGGAGACAGAGCCAGTTCCGCCACTCAGGCCTGGGTGTTCCTGAGGCCTGCAGGAGATGAAGGCTGGAGAGGCTGTGTTCCACGAGTATGTATGCTGCCAGGCAGGGACCAGGACTCAGAGGCCACTGTGGTGCAGCCATTCCAGGCTGGGCAAGTTCACAGTGGATTCAGGCAGACAGAAAAGGAATCTTGGAGCCTTTGATACATTTTACAGGCCTTTAATGCTGAAGCAGGGAACCAGGTACACAGGCTTACCAGGCAGTGGAGCTGGGAGGCTGGCAGCAGCCAAGCCCCCAGCCCTGCATTCTCCATGCTCTCTTCTCTGTGGTATACTCTCTTGGTCTCCCTCTCATGTCTCATCTCAACTCATCTCGCAATCTCCCCTCATGCTGCCTCAGAGTAATACCTCTGTGAATGCCAGAGCTAGGGAGCCCCTATTATCCCTCCCTTCTAGGCTCAGGTATGTGCATTTACACATGTGCACACTCCATGTTCTCTGGGCCCAGGTGTCCATAATCATAGGTGTGCGTGCCCCGCACCCATGCCTCTCAGCCCCGCATCTATGCAGGTAACACAACCTAGGAGGAATGTAATACCACGGGTGCCAGCCATAGCAGCCAGTGGTGGGAGGGCAGGAAAAAGCCTGATTTAACTCTATTTTCCCTACAGCCACCCACCTCAGGGCTGAGCTGTATGTTGCCCATGTGAGGCCAAGGCACTCTCAGTGTTAGTGTGTTCGCATCATCTCTTTCCCAGGGTCCTGCCTCTTTATGTCCAGACAAAGAGGCACTGAGGGAGGGAACACTGGCTCTTGATCCATCATCCCACCCTGTTGCCCCTTCTGGCCCTCTTAAAAAGACCCTGAATGCTGGTTACATGTTGTGCCAGTAATGCTGTGGGGACAGCCTGCTGGCATTTTGTCTACATAAAGGCCCCTCAGCTGCAGGGATGGGTCCCCATCTTACAGTTGAGTTTCTGGAGGTGTCAGAAAGCAAAGTGGCCTGCTTCAGGTCACAACACAGGACCTAAGTAGAACAGGAATCACATACGAACACCTCTGTTGTGCCAGCAGGGCACAGAGAAGGTTCCCTATGGATCCAGGCAGATGGGTAGAGGAGTCCTGGAGCCCTCAGTGGCTTTTTCAGGCTTTTGGTGATCTTTCTATACCAATTGTTGTAGGGCAACCAGGTGTAGGGCAGGTAGGAGTGCGGGGGACCAGGAGGCTGGCATTCTCTAGCGGTCTCTCCACCACTGTCCGCCGCACCATCCTCTACCACACTGCCTTTATATGCTCAGTCTCTCAGTTCACAAGTGCCCACTTATGCATGCCCACACCATACTCCAGGTGTCTACTGTCTGGCAGGCGTACCTTGAGCCCACGCTCCCAACACCTCCTGTATTCAAGGCTGAGGTGATACGGACAGAGGCCAACAACGCAAAAGCCTGAGCAATCTTCATTTATTCTATAACCTCCCACCCCCTTCACCTAGCCTGGACATAGAGCCTCTCCCCGCTTTGCAATCAGACTTGGTCAGGTTGAGACTGGCAAGAGAAACCTGAGCTATAGGTCTTGGTCCTGCTGAGCTATGCCTGCGTTGACCTTGTGACTTTGGGTAAAGGTCAAAGTAAATTGCTGATTACTCTGTTACTAGAAACCCTATCACAATGCCCAGCTAGTAGCAGGGTTCAGGAAATGCTGGTCCTCATGTGCCTGTCCTGTATCTAGGTGGGAAATGAGCAGATGTGTGACACCCCAGCTTTCCTGGGCACCGGGGTCGCTCAGCATCCTTGAGTGGGAGTTGTAGCAAGCTGAAGAATCTCCTGTGAGTAGATAATAGACAACCAGGTGCTGTAGCTCAGCAATGGGAAGAGCTACAAGCAAACAGCAAAAGGTCCAGATCAAAGAACTTGGATGTGTTCACTCATTTAATCAAATATATTCAGAAGATTCTGAGTTTAAAGAAAGGCTTCTGAAGGAAAAAAGTATCTGCGTATCTTACCTCCTCAAGCCTACGTAAATAAATTATTTCAAAAAGCTAATCTAAATCCGAAGTCTTTTCTTCTTTGAAATTTGGAAGGTGTTAGAAGCATTCAAATGTTTATGGGGAGAAGGATTTCAAGGCTCAGGATGCTGGCCGTTCGGGGTTATCATGTTGTCTAGTTGACAGAACCCAGTGCTTAGTGATCCCGAGTCTGCTTTAAAGAGCCCAGGATTTAGAATCTCACTTTATCTCTTCCACCCTCATTCTGGTCATACTGAAATTATTTGTTGAACTCACTTTTAATTCAACAGTAAACCAGTTAAAATTGGTAAAAATGTCTGGTTATTAATCATACAAATTTAAGTACTTAATCCATTCACTTTTGACAGGGATGTTGGAGCATTTGTTGTTGTTTTTGTACTTTTAGAAATTTAGTGATGTCAGGAGATAAGACATAAGCAGAGTGAACACTAATCTTCAGAGATTTTTCTGGAACTTGGAAATGACCTCCTCTAGGAAGCCTGTTACACAAGCTGTAAATAAGCACTGATGAACAGCTTCCTGAAGAGAGGTTCCTGACGTTAGGGCCTGGGCAGAGCAAGCCAGGTCCTTCCATCTTGGAGTATGGCTCTCAGTTCCAGGGCAAGCTTCCTGCTTTAGGTAAGCACCAAGCCGGTGAATGCAGCAGTGTAAAGGCATCCTCAGAACAGCGCTCACTGTAGCCTTTTGGCTCTCCTCCTGGGACATCTTGTCTTGATAGAAATCCCATTAAATGAATGCTTATGTCGGTAGCTCTTAGTCATTCGAACTGATGGGGAAGGGAGTTTCCTTCCCTCCCTGGAAGGGTAGAGAGAATGCTGGAACCCCTTTGATTTTAAAATTTAAATGTCAGTATTTATGTCTCTTGATTGGAAAAGGCTAGATCAGCCAGCATCAGAAAAGAATCACTAGAAGACAGGGAAAATCATAAAAGTGTGGTGCTGCCAGCTGGTTCTGAGTGCTGGCACGTCTTCACAAGCGTGGGGATGCTAGAAGTCTGTGCTTTGAAGATGCTCCAGATCTCCAGCACATGCCTATCCCTGAGATGAAGGAGCCAGGGCTGAAGAGCTGAGCTGGCTCATGAGTGGCTCTCAGCTCTCCTGTGCTGAGTGGGGAGGGCAGGGGAGACAGAAAGGCTCATGATGTGCCCAGGATGACCAAGTCTCTCCCACAGATGCGTGGCCCCATGTCTTATGCCAGAGGCTCGGCCTTGCCAGTGTGAGGAAATGCCTCGCCAAGCTGCCCTGAGTGCTGCAGGAGGTCTCAGTACACTCTCCCTCCTACGTGAGACCCTCCCTACTCTGTCTTGCACACAGCTGCAGTGTCTTAATCCCTACTGTAGACAAAGGTTTGTCACAGAGACCTGAACATCCGGAAGTTAGTAAAATCCTCAGTCTGCACATTTTGGCCTGACAGTGAGAAAGACCATGTGGTGATAGGGAGCTGTGAACAGCACCCCAGGGCTCTGCTTGGGGACTGTTGTGTGTCCTGCACAACTTGCAGGCAGCAGCAAACCTTCTGTGTGTCTGTTGTTCGTGGAATGAAAATTACATGTGAAGGGTGAACATTTCCTGAGGAAATTTGATATCAGCACAATAATAATAATAGTGAGAATGGTGGTGATGGCTTTGATGAAGATGCTAGTGCATTAATGGGGATGATGTCCATGATGGTGTTGATAGTAAGCACTGCTACCCTGAGCACTGTGTGTCCCTGGCACTATGTGGAGCTTGCTCTATCACCTCTAACCTTCAAGTCCACCACGGTATGTAAACAAAGCTTCAGTATGTTTGAGTATATTCCCTGGTTGTGAGTTTATTCCACTAAACTCAAACTCTGCCAACACCCAGAAGGCCCCTCAAGGGCAGTGCTAGTGATTACTGTCTGTTCTAGAACATGTTATAA